TGCGCGTCCGGAGCCTGTGCTCCGCAACGGGAGAGGCCACAACAGTGAGAGGTTCATTTTAAAAAAAAAAAAAAAAAAAAAAAATTCAAGCAATTTACAGAAATGTAATGGGTAAAAAGTAAAAATTTCCCTCCTCTCACTGCCACTCCATCCCCAGAGGTAACCGTAGGGTGGCAGATTGTTCTGGCTCAGGACAAACCAGATGGGGCTTCAGCATGTCCTTTGCTCACTCTCCTGGTTGAGGACCTCTTCTTACATGAGGACGAGTTCCAGTGTTTGCTTTTTCCATCAGCCATAGGTTTGGGATGAGATTGGAAGCTTGCTTATTTTTTCCCCCATAGCCAATTCAACACTGGAGGCAATTTTTTTTTTTTTTTTTACGGTACGCGGGCCTCTCACTGTTGTGGCCTCTCCCGTTGCGGAGCACAGGCTCCGGACGCGCAGGCTCAGCGGCCATGGCTCACGGGCCCAGCCGCTCCGCGGCACGTGGGATCCTCCCGGACCGGGGCACGAACCCGCGTCCCGTGCATCGGCAGGCGGACTCCCAGCCACTGCGCCACCAGGGAAGCCCCGATACTGGAGGCATTTTTAAAGCAGCTTTATTGCGCTATAATTTACAGACATAAAATTCACCCATTGTAAGTGCCCGAGGCAATGACTGTAATAAATTCATAGAGCTGTGCCCCCACCATGACAGTCCACTTGTAGAGCATTCCCCGTGGCCACGGAAGGCCCCCTGATGCTCACTGTACTTAATCCCTGTCCCCATGCTCAGCCCAGGCACTGCTGATCCACTTCCTGTTTCTGTAATGTGCCTTCTCTAGACATTTTCTATAAAATACATGTTGTAGTCACCTTCCCAAAGTGAGATGCAGTGGGTGGCACTGACCCCAGTGAGACAGGGGTCTAGGCCAAGGACAGTCTCCTCCGCATTCGCGATATGTAACATTAAGCAGAGGCTTTGTGAAGCGCCATACACATGATTTATTCTGATTGTCAGTCTGGGTGGAGGGTATAGGGTGTTCATTTTTTTATTCTTTCAGTTTTCCATGGGTTTAAATATTTTCTCATTTTAAGAAATGGGGGATGGGGGCATCAGTGTTTTTGGAGTCAGCAGGAGGGAGAAGAATGCTTCCGTTCTGCAAACAGGAGAATCCCAGAAGCTTTTTGCTCCTGGTGGACTTGGCTCCTGCTTTTAGGCCACTGTTCCTAATCCACGTGTGCAGAGGAGGTCCTGCCTCTGCCTGCCCTTCGCCTTCAGCTTACCAGACCTGGACTGAGACCACTACTCACGAGACAAGCGAGGTGCCCTGGAAACTTCCCAGCTCCCTTCAAACGATCGGAGAGACAAGACGCTAAGATGTTCACTAGTAATCGTGAATTATCTATAATCAGAGGGAAGATGTCCAGCTGTGAAAAATGCAGTGACTGTCCTGTTAACTCAAGTAGTTATTCTCCCTCAGGTAAAAAAATTGATAACTAAACCTGAACTATTTTTTCTCTTCCCTGAAGGGTTATTTTGGAAAAGGTATCCTGTCCAGAAGCCGTCCAAACTTCACAATTTCAGATCCTAAGCTGGTTGCTAAATGGAAAGGTAAACTTGTGCAACATTCAGTTCTTTTGGCAAATTATCATCTTCTTCATTTTTAGCTCTAACACCAGATTATACAGTAAAATTCTAGAGGAGAAGTAACATGCCACTGGCAGTTTTACTGGTAAAAATAGCAACTAGAATAATTCTAATCAAGGTGAAAGGGCTCTTATGATTGGTGAAAATGTGTTTCGTCTAATTTCTGGAATTATCAAAAGTGTTATTTAGGCTTTTCTGTTGTTAAGCATTTCTCAGCAGAGTCCTGTGTGTGTGGAAGGTACTAGTAATTAGTGCCTCCTCAGCTGTGTGCAAGGTGGGCTTTATATCTTATTTCTAGAGTTGGAATTTATAACAATAACCATGACATTGATGTATTTGTGAAAACATACTAATGTATATGGTTCCCATTTGCTGTTCCTCTTTAACTTATCAATCTTGCATCTGGGTGTATTTTTCTAAGGGAGTCTCATGGTAATTACATAACCAATACCAGCAGGTTAAAACAATTAGAAAGGATTTTTAAAAATATTTTATTGCAAGACAAAATACAAATTAAAATTGCACTGAGATACCATTTCAGCAATCAGAGTGACAGAAATCAGAAAGTTTGACAGTGTGCCCCATTGGTGAGCCCTTGAGAAACACTCTCACGCGTTGCTGGTGGGAGTGCAGGTGGTATGGCCGTTACGAAGGGGACTTGACTGTCTCAAAAAATCATATATACATTTACTCCCCGCCATCCTCCTCTCCCCCTAACCCCTGGTAACCTTAATATGCTTTCTGTGTCTTTGATTTTGCCCATTCTAAATATCTCATATAAGTGGAAACCTTTTATGTCCTTCACCTAGGATAATTTTTTCAAGGTCTGTCCATGCTGTAGCATTTATCAGAACTTTATCCTGAATACTATTCCATTGTATGATATATTTTGTTTTGTGTATCCATTTATCCAAAGATGGATATTTGGGTTGTTTCTACTTTTTGGCTGTTATGAGTAGTGCTGCTGTGAGCATTCACGTACAGGTTTCCACGTGGACCTATGTTTTCATTTCTCTCCTGTGTATACCTAGGAGTAGACTTGCTGGATCATATGATAATTCTATTTTAATTTTTTGAGGAACCACGAACTGTTTTCCATAACATTTGCATCATTTTACATTCCCACCAGCAATGCGTAAGGTTTTCCAATTTTTCCACATCCTCACCAACACTTGTCCTTTTCTGTTTTTGTTTTTGATGATAGCCATTCTAATGGGTGTGAAGTGGTAAAAGTTTTTCATTTTAATGAAGTCTAATTTATCGTTTTAATTTTTTTTTTCTTTTCATGTGCTTTTGGTGTCATACTAGGGAACCATTACCAAATCCAAGCTTGTGTAGATTTTCCCTGTGTTTTCTTTTAAGAAGTTAATAGTTTCAGCTCTTAAGTTTAGGTCTTTGATCTATTTTGATTTAATTTTTCTATGATGTAAGGTATGGGTCCAGCTTCATTGTTTTGCCTGTGGATATTCAGTCGCCCAATATATGCATTTACTTTCTGTTTTTTTGTTTTGTTTTGGTTTTTTTGTGGTACGCGGGTCTCTCACTGTTGTGGCCTCTCCCGTTGCGGAGCACAGGCTCCGGACGCGCAGGCTCAGTGGCCGTGGCTCACGGGCCCAGCCGCTCCGCGGCGTGTGGGAACTTCCCGGACCGGGGCACGAACCCGTGTCCCCTGCATCAGCAGGCGGACTCTAAACCACTGCACCACCAGGGAAGCCCCTATGCATTTACTTTTAACCCAACAATTCCACTTCTGGGAATTTATCTTAAAGATACACTGGCAAAAATATGTAAAGAAAGAGCCCAAGGCTATTCAGTGCAACACTGTTTCTAATGTTAAAAGACTGGAAACAACCAAAATGTCCATGGAGGGTGGGGATCCCAGCTGAATGAACTATAGAACATTCATATAATGACATGCTGTGGAGCTGAGGTAGGAATGGGACATCACTAGGATATATTTCTAAGCAAAGAAAGCAAGGTAAAGGAAAGTATGCTATGGCTTATCTAGAGGCAGGGAAATATAAATATATTTTTGAAATGTAAGGACGGATAAATCATAGTTTTTTTAATGCCTATGGGCGAGGGATGGAACAGGATGGAGAGAGAGGTGAGACTATAGGTTTGACCTTGGAACCTCGTAAATGTATTACATGACAACAAGGTGGTGTAGCCACAGAGGAAGCTCTTTTGAGTGACTTTAAAACATGGTAATTTGACTGTTCAGTCCTAATGGGATAGACTTTGTATCTCCTGCCACAGTGATTTTTAACAGACCACCCCAAAATTCAGTGGCTCTCAACAGCAACCAGATTGCTCGTTTGAGCTTCTGGGTTTGCTGGGTGGGTCCACTGATCTTGGCTGGATGTGCTCATCCATCTGGTTAGTTATGGATCCACTGGCTGCACTATTAGAAGTCCAGTGATGGATGTAGCTGGACTCACTGGTGTCTGGTTGTCTGTTGGATGGCGGTCAGCTGGTCTAGGATGGCCTCAAGCGGGATGAGCGGGGGAGGGTACCGGGTATGTCGTCCTCCACAGGCCAGCCCGGGCATGTTCTCATGGTGATCGTGGATGTACCGAACCATTTAGAGATGAAGTGATATGAGGGATCTGTTTCAAAATAATCTGGGGGCCAGGGGAGTGGGCAGAAGAACAGGGAGAGAACCATTGGCCATGAGTTGATTTCAAGCTCAGTGATGGGAACATGGGAATTTATTATACTGTTCTCTCTACTTTTGTATGTTTTCAAGTTTTTCATAGAGTTTTTAAAAGGGAGAAAAAAAAATAGAGCAAGTAGCATAATGACCCTGCCTGTCCCCATCACCCAGCTTCAGCAGTTACTAATAGTTTGCCCCCCAGAAATAGAAAGTTTTCAAATAGGGTAATGGTCTTAACAGCTGAGAATCTTTTCCTGATCTATGTAGTAACTTAAGTTTTAAGTAGGGTAGAAACTTGAAGGAAATGAATTTAGGCCGAGACAGAGATTAAGGTTGTGGGGTGCCCTCAGGAAGTAGATCTCGAATGTCCATTTCAACATTTTGGCTTCAACCTCATCTTCTAACCCCTCTCCACCCACCCTCTTCTACTCGTTGGTACCACGGCCACCTTGGGCTGCCAGCCGATGTGTGAAGCGTGGCTCACGGGCCCAGCCGCTCCGCGGCGTGTGGGAACTTCCCGGACCGGGGCACGAACCCGTGTCCCCTGCATCAGCAGGCGGACTCTAAACCACTGCACCACCAGGGAAGCCCCTATGCATTTACTTTTAACCCAACAATTCCACTTCTGGGAATTTATCTTAAAGATACACTGGCAAAAATATGTAAAGAAAGAGCCCAAGGCTATTCAGTGCAACACTGTTTCTAATGTTAAAAGACTGGAAACAACCAAAATGTCCATGGAGGGTGGGGATCCCAGCTGAATGAACTATAGAACATTCATATAATGACATGCTGTGGAGCTGAGGTAGGAATGGGACATCACTAGGATATATTTCTAAGCAAAGAAAGCAAGGTAAAGGAAAGTATGCTATGGCTTATCTAGAGGCAGGGAAATATAAATATATTTTTGAAATGTAAGGACGGATAAATCATAGTTTTTTTAATGCCTATGGGCGAGGGATGGAACAGGATGGAGAGAGAGGTGAGACTATAGGTTTGACCTTGGAACCTCGTAAATGTATTACATGACAACAAGGTGGTGTAGCCACAGAGGAAGCTCTTTTGAGTGACTTTAAAACATGGTAATTTGACTGTTCAGTCCTAATGGGATAGACTTTGTATCTCCTGCCACAGTGATTTTTAACAGACCACCCCAAAATTCAGTGGCTCTCAACAGCAACCAGATTGCTCGTTTGAGCTTCTGGGTTTGCTGGGTGGGTCCACTGATCTTGGCTGGATGTGCTCATCCATCTGGTTAGTTATGGATCCACTGGCTGCACTATTAGAAGTCCAGTGATGGATGTAGCTGGACTCACTGGTGTCTGGTTGTCTGTTGGATGGCGGTCAGCTGGTCTAGGATGGCCTCAAGCGGGATGAGCGGGGGAGGGTACCGGGTATGTCGTCCTCCACAGGCCAGCCCGGGCATGTTCTCATGGTGATCGTGGATGTACCGAACCATTTAGAGATGAAGTGATATGAGGGATCTGTTTCAAAATAATCTGGGGGCCAGGGGAGTGGGCAGAAGAACAGGGAGAGAACCATTGGCCATGAGTTGATTTCAAGCTCAGTGATGGGAACATGGGAATTTATTATACTGTTCTCTCTACTTTTGTATGTTTTCAAGTTTTTCATAGAGTTTTTAAAAGGGAGAAAAAAAAATAGAGCAAGTAGCATAATGACCCTGCCTGTCCCCATCACCCAGCTTCAGCAGTTACTAATAGTTTGCCCCCCAGAAATAGAAAGTTTTCAAATAGGGTAATGGTCTTAACAGCTGAGAATCTTTTCCTGATCTATGTAGTAACTTAAGTTTTAAGTAGGGTAGAAACTTGAAGGAAATGAATTTAGGCCGAGACAGAGATTAAGGTTGTGGGGTGCCCTCAGGAAGTAGATCTCGAATGTCCATTTCAACATTTTGGCTTCAACCTCATCTTCTAACCCCTCTCCACCCACCCTCTTCTACTCGTTGGTACCACGGCCACCTTGGGCTGCCAGCCGATGTGTGAAGCTGCCATGCGTTTGCCATCCCCAGCCTTTGTGCATCGTGTCCTCTGCCTTTTTCCCCTGGTCCTCCTGGCGAACTCTTACTCATTCTTCAGAGCCCCACTCGATTACTCCTTCTCCTTTGTGTTTTTTCCTAACCCTTCCAGGTAAAGTAAGCCAGTCCCTTTACAATATGTACTGTCCTTGCTCAAGTAGGGTTAGAATCAGCTTGGGTTAGAGTCAGTCATGTCTGGTCTGTCTCCCCAGCTAGAGTGTGAGTATCTCAAGGAGAGGGGATTTGCTTTATTACTTCTGTATATCTCGTGCCTGGCACATGGAAGGCTGTCAGTAAAACTTGCTAAATTGTAGCTTGTTGTTAAATTACCAGAGGAGGGAGGTCTCCTTAGGTCAAATTACTAAGGAGATAGGAGTCTGTGAACTCACCTCCCTAGGATTTTAAAGCCGAACATCATCAATTCCAGGCCTTTAGGGCACCAGAGAGGAAGCCGAGTATGGAAAAGTAAAGATGAGCTGCCCAAAGGCAGGGTGAGGGAGGACCAGGACAAAAACCCACTCTGTTAGTGGCCTGGTCAACATTTTAAGTGGAAAGAGTCTTCCAGCCAGATGCCCAGAGCTGGAACTAGAGCCTGGAACTCCCAAACCACATCCAGAGCTAACACCGCCATGAGATCTACTCCAACGTCCCTTTCCTTAGGCGCACGTGAGCAGCTGTCACAGAAGGTGCTTGATGGAACACGGAGAATGGAGGTAAAGTGTGTAACTTTAGGGCTTCGGTACTCTCTCTTAGAAGTTGAGGGCCCGAGCATTTGGAGGTGGCAGAGTTTCCCCTTCCATGCTGTCGCTGCTTAGCTGGAGTGTCGAGAAGGATTCCGAGGTCACATCTTAGCCCAGCAAGAGCCCTGACGGGTCAGCAGTGCCTGTCAGGGTGTGCGTGCAGGGAGTGATGGTGTATAAAGCACCTGTTTGGCTGCTTGGACAGGATTCATTCAACCTTCTAGATGTGAGATTTTGTGAATCTTGGAATTCTGTGTCTTTTCTAGGTTGTCAGTGTTTTCCACCTTAAGGAAAATTTGTCTAAACTAATAGCACTTCTTTGTTGTTGCAGATATGAAGACAGACATGCCTGTAATCACGTCAAAAAGGTAAGTCTTGGTGGACTTTGACCTTGGGCAAAATTATGGTTTAAATCAGATCTGTTTTCAGGTAGCCTTTTCTGATGTGATTGTCCACACCTTTTGTGTGTGTGTGTGGTAGTAGTAGGTGTGTCCTTGAAAATTATGTCTGAATTTAATGTGGATCAAATCATATTTGAATTGTACTAAGTAAGTTTATTTTAAAAAATAATCCTAAGCCAAAACCTTTACCAGTTAAATTCCTTCCAAAATATGAACACTAATCCTGTAACGTATATTGTCTGTAAGCACTAAGGTACTTAGGTTTGGAGCTGGCCTCCTGCGCTGTGTGGGCGTAAACAGCCCTGTCCTCTTTCATCGCTCCACACTTGCGGGGTTAGAGAAAGCCGCTTTCCCAGAGGCTCTCACACAGACCACCCACACAGCCATGATCCTTCCTTCCTCTGGGCTTTTGTTTATGCTGTTCGCGTTTCCCAGAACACTTCTCTCTAACCTACCAGGCACGTGTGCTGCTGGCTATTCCTGCACGTCCAGCCTACGTGCGAGTTTCCTGGAGTGTCTCCGCGCCGCCCTTTCCTCCGCTGCCGCCGCAGAATCTGCCTTGGCGCCTGTCGCTGTGCCGTACATCACACACTGGACTTAGACTGTCAGTTGTCAGAGGGTGGGGACCATGCCCAGTTCCCCTCTGCAGCCCCACACCCAGCGCTCCCTTGGTAGGATTTTGTTGAGTAAATGTTCCTCATTCTAAACGCTCGTCATCCCTGCAGGACAGCTCAAGTTGCAACTCTTCCATGCAGCCTTCGGAAACCGCTCAAGCCTATAGTGGTTCATCTTGCTTCTGGCATGTACTGGCAGAATCTGACAGCTCCTTTTCATGCTCTGAAACCCCACGGCCACGGAGTGCCCGAGAGGCAGTGGCACCTGGAAGATCTCAGGGGCTGCTCTGGCCATAGCCACAGGCTGGGGGACGGCATAGGGCCTGAGAGGACCTGGCCGAGCCCCCGTTCCACTGGGAGCTGCAGTGTAGACAGGCTGCTGCAGCCAACACTAGGATGCAGAAACAGCAGAAGCCTGTCCCTCAGAACCGCATCCCGATCGGGCTGGCAGGACAGATGACACGGCAGCAAGCCCGTTTGAATATGTGAGGTTTTGGCGGGTGGGGGACTGCTGCCCCCCGCCATCTGAAGGTTAACTCTCGGTAAGCTCTGTAGAATGTGCAGCGTTCCAGGAATTCTACTGAGCTTTGCGTCAGTTTCCTAGGGCTGCTGTAACAAAGTACCACAGACTTGGTGATTTGTTGTTGTTGTTGTTGTTGTTTTCGCTGCGTCAGGTCTTAGTTGCGGCAGGCAGGATCTTTGGTTGCAGTGCATGGGCTTCTCTCTAGTTGTGGCACATGGGTTCCAGAGCGCATGGGCTCTGTAGTTGCGGCACTGGCTCAGTAGTTGGAGCGTGCAGTCTCAGTTGCCCCACAGTACGTGGGATCTTAGTTCCCTGACCAGGGATCGAGCAGGCATTCCCTGCATTGCCGGATGGATTCTTAACCACTGGACCACTAGGGAAGTCCCAAACTTGGCAGTTTAAGAGAACAGAAATTTATTCTCATGGTCTGGAGGCCAGAGGTCCCAAATCAAGGTGTCAGCAGGCCTGTGCTCCCTCAGGAGGCTCTAGGGGAGGGTCCTTCCCGCCTCGTCTTAGCCTCTCGTGGTGGCCAGCAGTCCTTGGCCCTCCTTGGCTTGTAGATACATCACTCCAGTCTTTCCCTCCGTCGTTGCATGGTGGTCCACCTTGTGTGTCTCTGTGTCCAAATTTCCCTTTTTTTTGTAAGGACACCAGTTAGTTTGCCCTCATCTTAACTTCATTACATCTGAGAAGACCTGTTTCCAGATAAGGTCCCATTTGCAGGTGCCAAGAGGTAGGACTTCAGCACATCTGACAGTTCTGTCAGGAAAGTATGCCCTCCCCAGCACCCCCCGCCATCAATACTTGATTCATCATCAGTTCATAAAACTTGCAGTCACCATCTAAATTTTGTTAAGTATTAGAAAAATGGACTCTTTTTCATACCTTGAGGTTAAGTTTCCAGCTTAAGTACTTGTTATAATTGTTTATTTCCTCAGAACTTTGGATCCCTCTTTCCAGTGGATTCACTCTAATTGGCCTTTTTCCAACAGTAGTCGTCCTGTTGATGAGAACCTTCCGTGTGATCTTTTCTGGAGGTGAGCATCCAGACCCTCAGGTGATGCACCTGCGGGCTGAAGATTGCACCGTTGTGTCTTGGAAGGACCAGCCCTGAGGATGGTGCTGGCCCCCTCCTGACCTGTGGTCCTCTCTCCAGCCAGCACTTACTGCGAGTACCCACGTGTCAGGCACTGGGTAGGTGCTGGAGATACAGGAGGAGGAAAGATCTCTGTCCTCTTCTCGGGGATCTAGAGTCTAGTGGGAGGGGAAGAGGAGTAGACAAATGAGCTCTTCTGTGATGAATATTATGATGGGGTATCGCCATCAGCAGCAGCGTTGTCATAGCCAATCGGTACTGATACTCCAGCAGTGCCGTTACCTGTCCACATGTTTTACCCGTATCCTCTCAGCTCGTCTTCTGGAGAAACCTTTGAGGTAGGTGTAGTTGTTTCCATCACGTGCATAGGGAGCCTACAGAGAGCTGCCCAAGAGTTCGTGAGCTCGAATCAGGAAGCACGACTCCGGAGCCTGGGCAGTAATCGCATAGTTGTATGTGCCGGCATTTCTGGGGTGTAGTCCGCGTAATAGGCACTGTGTTGACAACAGCTTTGTGGATTAGCTTTTCAAGTCCTCACATCACCCCTAGGTGGTCAGTCCTGTAATCATCTGTCTTGGACAGGGGAGGAAAGAGCCCCGGAGGAGGTTAATTAACTTGCTCAGGGTCAGTGCTTGCACCTAAGCAGCCTGCCTCAAAACCGTTGCGCCCTGAGCTTCCAGTAGTCGATAGGCCTCAGTCAGTGAGAGGGGAAGAAGGGTTCGCTGCAGATGGAAGAGGGGTGCTTGAGGGCAGAGGCACCTGAGAAGCTGAGCCGTATTCACACGGCCCCGCCCGGGGCTCTTGGGGCCCCGGCACGGCTCTGCGCCGCCAGGCGCTTCGCTGCTGCTCATCGCACCTGCCACCTCCTCCCGCTCTCCCCTCATGTTTTCCAGCTTGTACTTTTTACCCTTCTCTTCCTGCTGCTTCTCCAGCAGTGTTCAGGGTTAATCACAGCAGGACCTTTGAAGGCATTGCCAGCCAGTGAGAGGCCGCCTTCTGCTCTGTGCCCCATTGCCGCGTGTCGATCACAGGCTCAGTCAGAGGCTTTCTTCCACAGGCTTTAGCAGCCGCTGTTGCATTAAGCTTCTATAAACAAACATCTGAGGTCATCAGAGGCAGGATAACGGTGCGACCCCGGCATTCGGCAGAAGAGCAGAAGGTGTCAGAAGCTGAGTGGCTCAGCTCAGAGTCACGGAAGAGCCAGCTCCGGAACCCAGATCTGGTACAGTACTCGACCCACACGGCTGCCCCTGCTCCCAGAGAGCGATTCATTAAGGTGTACGTTTCTATCCATTAAAACGTCGTTTGTATTTTTACATGTAATAGGTATTGAGTCGAAATGATTTTATTTTTCAAGTGTCCCCGAAAAATCCCACAGTCATAAAGTAACAAGTATTTATTGAACACTTACTATGTGCTGAGCACTTCACAGGTCTCATCTCCTTTCATCCTTGCACCGCCCCCTGAGGCAGGTCCAGTTATTCCCGAGCCTTGGAGGGGAGGGCACGTAGCTGGTACGAGAACCTCATGCTCACAGTGAGGGCTTGAGCTCACATCTGCCTTGACCAGTCTGGTGCTAAGAAGCTGAGCAGGGACCTGTGTGCGTGTGCACTCTCTCTCCCTCTCTCAGTTCCACATCTCCTGCTCAAAGTGGGAGCTGTTGAACCTTTAATGCTGTGGTTCTTTCACATATTTTAAATCATGGAATTTGATGAAAGTTGTGGATCCCTTCCCCAGGAAAATACACATGACACGAAAATTTGTGTTCAGACACAGGAGATCCATAGACCCATGAAGGCTTTAGCCAATGTTACAGGTGACATGAAGAGCATAGATCCTTTTAGATCCCTCATATAGAAGTCCTTCTAACTGCACATGAGAGAGGCTGTACCTTTCATTCAGGAGAGGAGACACCCTGCTGCTCTCTGGGCAGCTACGTTTTATGCTGATTATAAAAAGGAGCGCATGGGCTTCCTTGGTGGCTCAGTGGTTGAGAGTCCGCCTGCCGATGCAGGGGACACGGGTTTGTGCCCTGGTCCGGGAGGATCCCACATGCCACGGAGCAGCTGGGCCCGTGAGCCATGGCCGCTGAGCCTGCGTGTCCAGAGCCTGTGCTCCGCAACGGGAGA